TTTATTCCATCTAAAAAGTAAAAAATAAAATTAATTTAATCTAAAAATAACAAACAAACTTTATTTAATCTAAAAAATAAAAGATAAATTTATTTATATCATCAATATAGAAAAATGAAAAATAATATTTTCTGTATAACCCATAGAGAAAAATTAGAAATAAAGTAAGCTGCTATCTATATCATCAATATACAAAAAAATAAATTAAAAATCTGATTTTCTATATTATTGGTATAGAAAAAAACCAATAAAACTAACTGGTATCTGTATTACTAATGTAGAGAAATAATAATTGGGATTTTCTATATAATCAATATAGAAAAATTAAAATTAAAATTAACTGATATTTATATTACCAATATCGAACAATAAAAAAAAATGAAAATCAAGATTTTTTATATTAATGAGATACAAAACTAAGACATGAAAGTAACTGTTGTCCATATTAGCAATATAGAACAAGAACAGATAGAAATTAAAATTTTCTATATTATCACTATAGAAAAATGAAAAGTTACAATCAGGATTCTCTATATTATCAAATATGGAAAAATGAAAATACCATTTTCTATATTATCAATGTAAAAAATCAAAAATAATAAATAAGATTTTCTATACTACCAATTTAGGAAAATAGGAAATGAAAACTAAGATTCTTATACCATTGATTTAGAAAAATAATAAACAAAAGTAACTGTTATCTATACTGCCAATATAGAAAAAAAAACAAATAAAACCAACTATTATCTGCATTGTCAATATAGAAAAATAAAAAATAGAAGTTAGCATTTTCTATATTATAATTTTAGAGAAACAATACAGAAAACTAACTGTTTCTATATCATCAATATGGAAACAGTATATAGAAAGTCTGATTTTCTATATTATAAATATAGAAAATAAAAACCATAAAACTAACTGTTATCTACCTTACCAATACAGAAAAATCAGAATCAAAACTAACTGTTATTTATATTATCAATATAGAAAAGATGAATTGAAAAATAAGATTTTCTATATTATTAAACTAGAAAAATGAGAAGTAAAAATGGGATTCTCTATATCGCCAAAATAGAAAAACAAGAAATACAAGTAGGAATTTCTATACTACCAGAATAGAATAATGAAAACTAATGAATAAGTTTTTATATACTTAGGGGTATCCAAAAGTAGTGGCAACGACATTTTACTACCACTTAGTAAGCTTGATAAAAGTTTCTTTTTACACAGGATGATAGAGAAAAAAATGCTCTTTATTTCTATACTATTTGATCATACTTCACATAACATAATGGTAATAAATTTCCAGTAAGATTCGTTTCGTTATCATTCGTGATCGTTATACTGGTTTATAACGGGTAGGACAGGTTAATTTTCCGTCCCTTAATACATTGCATCAATGATCGAAACATACCGTAAGATGCAGCATGAAAAGCTCTACAATTTACATAAGAGCACTTATTCCATAATTGTACTTTTTGTTTTCAAAGTGGACAAAACTTTGAGAGATCAGATTTTGAGCATTGCAAAAATTGATCGCATAGAAATGTGCTCTTTTTGAAAGCAATTTACTGTGAAGATTGTACAGCTTTTCACGCTGCATCTTGTGTGTGTTTTACTTTTCTACTAATAAAGCATTTTCGTAATGGAACGATGACATAACAAAAAATGAATTCGTCATGCATCAAAAAAGTTATTTTTTCCCCATGATAGGCGCCTGATCGCTAAAAGGTTGTCCATTCTAAACACACAAAGTGCAACTATAAAATACGTAGTCATATGTAGATTGTAGAGCTTTTCACGCTGCATCTTTTAGTATATTCTGCTTCTTAATAGAACACATAAAAAAATTGAAAACTGCAATGCAAACTTATAACGAGCACGAATGATAACGAAACGAATCTTACTGGAAATTTATTACCATTATATTATGTGACGTATGATCAAATAGCATAGAAATAAAGAGCATTTTTTTCTCTATCATCATGTGTAAAAAGAAACTTTTATCAAGCTTACTAAGTGGTAGTAAAATGTCGTTGCCACTACTTTTGGATACCCCTAAGTAATATGAAATATAGAAAAATTAAAAGTAAAAATCAAGATTTTCTGTATTATCACTATAGAAAAATAAAAAATGAAAATTAGGATTCTGTATATTATCAAATATAGAAAGATTAAAATTAAATTACACCTTTTCTATACTATCAATTTGGAAAAATCAGAAATGAAAATTGACATTTTCTATATTATTAATATAGAAAAATAAGAAATGAAAGTTAAGATTTCTGTATAATTACTAGAGAAAAGTATCAAAACAAACTAGGTACATGGATTGATCTTGTTTTTTAACTACTATTCTTCACAGTAAAACTGATCGAATCAACAATTTCTGAATAAGTTAAAGAACAGGAGAGATCATACACATTCAGCTAAGAACAGAAAGGATCCACATTATGTTCTGTTATGTTTCTTTTTACATTAATCTCATATGATCTGATAAGATCGCACAAGAAACATTCAGCCGGTACTAATAGGTTTCTTAATCTTTAAATCTTGTAAGATTTTTGCTGGCATCTTATGGTCAAAATCTGAGGAAATCTTCAAACAACGAACACATGAAATCATATGATCTTGTGACAAGATCATAGAGAAAATCGTATAAGGATAAGATCTTATCGGATTTAGCATGATTTGATGTCAGGTTTTTGACTTGGGTAGATTTTGATTGTACAGTGTCACCAAATAATCTTATGAGATTCAAAGATTAAGACACTTATAGGGACAGACTCAATGCTTCCTATCAAATCTCTTCAAACCACAAAAGGTTCATACAAAAAGGAACATACACCAGTACCTACTGAAGATCTTATCTATCCTTATCCGATCGTGTATGATGTTCCCTGTTCTTTATTTATTCGAGAATTGTTGATTCGAGTAGTTTTACTACGAAGAACAGCAGTTGAAAACACGATCGAGTTGTGCACACAATTATTTTTCTTATTTTTCTATACGAACAATAAAAGAAAATCTTATCTTGTACCTCTTAATTTTCTATATTGTTAATATAGAAAATCTTAATTTTAGTTTTTTATTTTTTTATGTAGGTAACATAGAAAATCTTAACTTCAATTTTTTATTTTTTTATGTATAGGTAACATAGAAAACACTACTTTTACTTTATTTTTCTATAACAATAATATAGAAAGTGGTTAAGTTTATTTCTTTCTTTTCTATATTAATAATATAGAAAGTGGTTAAGTTTATTTCTTTCTTTTCTATATTAATAATACAAAGAATATTAATTTTTATTTTCTGCTTTTCTATATTAGTAATATACAAAGTCTCATTATAATTCTTATTTTTCTATACTATTAATACACATAACAGTTAGTTTTGTTTCCTAGTTTTCTATAATAATAATATAGGAAATATAAATTTTCATTTCTTTTTTTTCTATACCCTGAATATAGAAAATCGCATATTTACTTTTTATTTTTCTATAGCAATAGTATAGAAAATGGTTGATTTTATTCCTTAATTTTCTATATTAATATTATAGAAAATCTCAAATTTAATTTTTCATGTTCGAGAAACTTGATGTAAGACTTGACATCAGATTTCTGAGACAACAATTTTTCGTATGATTTTCCGTATGATCTCGTATGATCATATACAATAGTTTGTAAGATCTAATAGAATCATACAAAAATTCATGACCGATCTTTCTATATGATTTCTCGACGTGGAAACCTACGATTAAGTTACGACCCTATACGGTCGTATACTACAATCGTGCACGACAGTCGTTTATTTGCAACGTATACGTTGATTGTACTTGAACGCAGTGACGCAGCCAGAAATTTTTTTTGGGGGGGGACCGCAATAGAAAAAAGACATTTTTTGACTAGCAAAAACGAATTAGCCTGTACCCCCCTCCAGGCATTTCGGTCTTTCGGGGGGGGATCGATCCCCATAATCCCCCCCCTGGCTGCGTCACTGCTTGAACGTATGACATCGTGTACGTCCATCGTATACGATGACCGATTCTAGACGTATTTCGTCGTATACGATCGTTTGCGATCGTGCTTTCTTGACCTGGGAAGTTAAATTATTTTTTTTTTGTGACAAGAACAAGAAAAGGCAAGAAAGAGAGAAAAAGAGTGATAGCTGAATGAACCAATAGAGAATTGGTATTAATATGTGATACGACATAATGCATACGTGTGGCGACACTGTTCGTACACCAAAGGTTTCGTTACGTTCGTCACGCGCACAAATATGGTTGTACGTCTGGCGTACGATACAAAGTGAAACGCGTACATTTCCCGTACGAACTGACGTGGGTATATATAAAGACAGAACAGAAAAAAAATTATTGGCAAATAAACACATCACTATTGAACGAATATATTCGTTCAATAGTGGTGTGTTTATTTGCCAATAATTTTTCTTTCTGTTCTGTCTTTATATATATGAACAATAGTGCGGTGCTTAAACTGCACATGTATCCAATGCTTTGTTTTATTCTATAGATCAGTTGTGCATAACTTTAATGAAAAATAGCGGAAGTATTTTGAAAAAATATTATGTCAACAGTGTCTTTTATAGTTTTCATTTATAAAAAGAAATGAGAAAGAAAGAAAAAGACATGTCTAATGCACATATCAGATGGAATATAAGTAATAGAGTATATTTACCTTGCTTCTATTGGATTTTTTTTTTCATTTCTCTTACTTTTTCCTATTTTTTTCAATACGTTTTTACTTCCGTTTCACTTTTTGTCATCTGTACTTCGTGGAAATTCAACAATTCGAACGAATTGTATGTGTTATGTGTATAGGTTGACATCGTAAAAAAATGCTATGCGTCTAACAAGACAGTTCATTCGTCTAGTTTTCTTATATTGCCCAAAGTCGATTATTCGTTGACATTTAACATAATATTAGCTGAGATATAGTATATGAATTCTTTTCTTCAATTCAGATAGAAATATTATTAATATGGCGATAAGAAATTTGAATTTCTTTTTCCTAATTCTATTATTATTATCATCCATCAGTGGATTTAATCTACCAGGATTGGTACCTAATGAATTCTGTCGATTTCCACTGCCAGAATTACGATGCAAAGTTTGTTAAAAACGAAGAAAAATCTCATTTATTGAAAAATATAATTTTAGACTCAACTTGAAGTATTTGTCAATCGTCTCAATTCAATTGAATCTGTATTACCATATGAATATTCTTAGTGAGTTAATATATCATTTTTTCTTTTATTTAATTCTGAAAAAAAATTAGTTTTCCTTTCTGTACTCTCAATGATGAACCACCAACAGTTGAAAATCTTGGTCAAACTCTCGTTGGTGAACGGATTCGACCATCACCATATAAAGTTAGTAATCAATTCAATTCTATATTTATATCAACTGAACTTCTTTTTCTAGTTTAATTTTCTTCAAAACTCTAACTGCCATCATGTATGCACAAAGAAATTTACATCAACTGATGCTAATCAACAAAAAATGCTTAAACATTTAATGAAAGGAATGATTTTAAATTATCAACAACAGTGGATACTTGATAATATGCCTATTACGTTATGTTATACAAATATTGAAAATAAAGAATTTTGTTCTCGTGGTTTTCCAATTGGCTGTTATGTAACTAAAAATGGTCAAACAAAAGAATCGTGTAATATTCGTGGTGGAAAAAATGATACATTTTATGTATTTAATCATTTGGATTTTGAAATAACTTATCATAGTGAACTAGGTAATAAGATAATCATAATAACTATGATATTTTGATTAGTTTGTTTTTTTCAAGGTGAAACATGGGGAAATGCATTTGCTGAAGATAGTGGTCGAATTATTTCAGCGAAAGTACAAGTTAATAGGTTTGTTGAATAAAATAATCATCTTCCTCATGTATAAATTTTTTTTTTTAGTTTCAATTCAAATAGATGTGATCGTACTAGTGAACCAGTTATGTTTCAATCGACAAGCAAAGGTGTTGAAATTCCATTTACATACAGTGTAAAATTTATAAAAAATAATGAAATAAATTGGGCTAGTCGATGGGATTATATACTTAAATCATCATCACCAACAGCACATATTCAATGGTTTTCAATTTTAAATTCGCTTGTCATTATCTTATTTCTTTCGGGTATTGTTGCTATCATTCTCTTACGTATACTATGTAAAGGTTATTCTCGTTGTAATCAATTAATTGGTGCTGTAAGTTGAAGAAATTAAATCGACATATATATGATTGTTTGTTTTCTTTTTATATAGGGTACTGCAAAAGAAGAATTTGGATGGAAACGGTAAGAATTCATCTATTTTATATCTTCATTTTGATCTTGTATCGTATACAATTCACTTTTTTAACATTGTTGTTGAGGTTGTGTACTTTCTATATAGCGAAATGGTCCGAATACGAAGATTCGTGTATTTGTTATCTCCCAAACTGCTGACTTTTTGCGCTAATACTTTATTTAACTATAGATTTAGACAAATTTGTCATTATACTCTCTATTCAGACCACTTATAATCTTTTATCTCGATTTTCAACCTTCAACAAAGAACTTCTCAGAAATAGACAAAGAATTTTAAAGCTAACATTTTACCTATATGCAGATCTCATGGTTATTAAAATGTTCTAAAATCTTTTAGCAGAACTATCAGATATTAAATGTATGTCACAAGTAAGTAAGAGGATCCAAGTATTAAATCATTGTGTAGGCTAATAGTTTGTAGGTTGAGATCATCGAGTAGGACTCGGTCCAAAAAAACTTGGGCTAACGAACTCTAATATGAACTATCTAAGATGTGTTAGTCGGCGAATACAAATAATAAAAAAGTAATATTTGCATCTTCAAAGTTACTTTCGAATTACAATAAGAAAAATGACACCAGTTAATGAATATAATTTCATTTTGAACTCTTTTTTTGTTGTTTTGAATTTTCAAGAATCCCTCGTTTATAAACCGCTGCTAAGCTAGAATTGTTCCCCCGTTGTTTTTCAAGATTCTTGAGAATAAATGCCAAGATGAGTCACCGTTACGGTTTATTCAAAGAAGATTGAATGTTAATCTATTCACCATCAAATGATATGTGATTTAGTTTTTATTCTCATTTTTTTACTGATAGGATTGATGGTGATGTATTTCGCCCACCACAAAAAGGTATGCTTTTGTCTATTCTTGTTGGTAATGGTGTTCAAATTGCAATGACATTTTTGATCACATTAGGTAGATAGTTTTGTTTATTTTCAATTTTTCTCAATTTTGGTTTGTTTAGTCTTCGCTTCGCTTGATTTTCTTTCACCAGCAAAACCTGGTGCTTTACTGACTTGTAAGTATTTTATTCCATTCTTTGTGTTCCTGTGTATTTCAGTTGATTCATTAAGGTCTTATTCTGTGCTATGTTCTTTTGGGCACTCCAGCTGGTTATACTTCAGCTCGTTTATATAAAAGTATGAGGCAATATTTATCAAACGTATGACTAATTGATCTTTCATAGTGTTTGGCGGTGTAAATTGGCAGAAAATTGCTCTAACAACAGCTGTTATATGTCCAAGGTAACATTTTAATCGTTGATTTTTTTTAAAATAAATTATTTCTTTCTTTATTTCAGCTTAATTTTTGCCGTTTTATTTGTTTTAAATCTTGTTCTTTGGAGAAATGGTAGTTCAGCAACTATTCCATTAACCACATTTTTAGCATTACTTGCTCTCTGGATTTGTGTATCAACACCATTGGTATTCATTGAAACTTATCTTGGTTTCAAAAGTTCAGTAAGAATGAAGAATATTTCTTTGATATAATTTCTCTTAAAATTAAGGTTTTTGAAAATCCTATTCAAACTAATCAAATTCCACGACAAGTCCCTGAACAAGCGTGGTACGCTAAACCATTATTAGGTGTCTTAGCAGGTGGTATTCTTCCATTTGGTTGTGTTCTTGTTCAACTATTTTTCATCTTAAACAGTATTTGGTAAATATCTTTGTCTTTTTAATATTTATTAGGTGTATATTTATGAATTTAGGGCTCATCAATATTATAATTTTTTTGGATTTTTACTTGTCGCATATATAATTCTTATCATTACATGTTCAGAAACAACAATTCTTCTTTGCTATGTTCATTTATGTACTGATGTATAGAATTTGATTCTATTTGATAAAAAAAAACTTAAATTTTCATTTTTGTAGGATTATAATTGGTGGTGGCGTTCATTTTTAACATCGGGTTTTACAGCTGTTTATTTCTTTGTCTATTCAGGTTATTATTTTACAACTAAATTAGAAATATCTGATAAAGCATCAATATTTCTTTATTTTGGTTATACATTAATACTTACATTTATTTTATTTTTATTTACTGGTAAGTTAAATATTCCTGTATAATCTATCTAATTAAATTCTATTTAGGTGCAATTGGTTTTCTTGCTTGTTTCTGGTTTGTTCGTATAATCTATTCCGTTGTCAAAATGAATTACATGAAGAAAGTATCTATCAATGATATGTCTAATTATTTTAAATGAAATTCGGTCGCTAGTGGATCAATTTACGACATCTAAACTTTTCATAACCGTTTTCCTCTTGAATCTGGATTTTAGAATCATGTATCCTTGCTAATTATTATATATCATATATAGTTAATTTTCTTTCAAATAAAATTGGAGAAGTTAAATATACTTAGGGCAATCCAAAAGTAGTGACCGAGGTACTGTAATTCCTTATACAAAAAAATTTAAGAAATTTTTTCTATACATAGTCTGATAGAGAAAAGAATGTTCTATTTTTCTATCATATGTGCCGGTAATATGAATGTCTATTTAGTGGATATTTTTTGAATAACTTTTGCTAGAAACAAGATAGAGAGCTGTGGTTTTCATTATTCGAAAGAAGAGATGACGATACATCAAATCACGTATTATAAGTTTTAATAGTACATCGTCTGAAGTTTGTTTAATCAAGTTTCTCAGTGTGAAAAAATGGTTTCTCATCAAAAAGAAACAGCAAAAAAAAGACGTTTTTTACAAAAATTGCCAGAAAAATCGCTTAGAGCTTCGACTAGATTACCTACAACTCCTGAATGATTAATTCTAAACATCTGAGCCTTGTGTAGTTGGATGTGGGTGTGGGTGTGCGTGTGGGTATGGGTGTGTGTGCGGGTGTGGGTGTGGGGTGTGGGGTGTGAGTGCGTGTGGGATGTGGATGTGAGCCTTGCATTTCTTCACACTCACACCTGCATACTCACATCCGATTTCAGTCCAACTGTCTGAAAAAAGTGGCAGATTCGTCCCAGCAATCGGATTTCCAGAGTGGTAAGCAAAAATAATCGTGATGCTTTTAAGAATGTTTTTTACTTATTAAGTTCTAAAAGTTGTATGAGTGATATTCTCGGTATCTATGCTGCTACAGAGAAACTAGAGATGATAATTTTCAAACTCTTCATAAGAAAAGACAGAAGGCTCTCATTGTAGAATACAATGATTAACGAAGAAGGTAATGAGTTGAGAATAGTGCTGAGAAAGATGAATGATCAACAATGTAAGAAAGCAACAAAGACAAATTTTAGAAGTGGATAGTTAGAAGGCTGATATGAATACACAATAGTCTACCTAAATTTCGTTTGAAAGCAGCAAATCAGATAAAACAAGTCAGATTTTCACAGCACTGTATGGCGGTAGGTTTCAAGTAATACATGCCAATGATAATCTAGCTGTTACGGGTGACATCTATACTCACTGTTGATTGAAGGGAATTTCCTTCTTTTTTTCAGAATAAAAAAAACTGCAATGATGCAAAATATTCTTATACTTTTTTTCTGACTGTTTTCATGTCTAGATTACATTCGATTGGCTGCGAAAACAGCTCTCGAAATCTTTTGTCAACAGTAGAAAAAAATCTGTCCACAAAGCAAACATCGCCATTTTCCATCATAAGGACGTGGATAATGATGTGTGTGGATGTGGGCGTGGTGTGTGACTGAGATGGATGTGTGTAAGATACGACAGAATAAGACAACCACACCCACACCCTGTCTAGATTTTTCAAAAAATCGATTTACTTTTCATTAGCGACAGGATGGAATACGAATATGCAAAAGAAAAAATGCTCTTATAACTGAATGAGAAGTTTAAAATCTATTTCAACCAGTGCAAATCCTTCTTCACGGTCTTTAGATGATAATAAGACAAAAATTTTTGTTTCTGGACTTGATAGGACCTCTAGAGAGCCCATTTTTATGAGAAAAGTTTTACCATAGATTTAGCTCGGGCTGTAGAATCTATCCTGAAGTGTTTAGATGTTTTCCTCATATGGCTAGAAAAATATTCACTAATTACATCTTAATTAATTAGTTAATTTTAATTCAATGATAGCCGAAAGCGCCAAGATTTTTTCATATCTCTATGTTAAGAGAACTTCTTCAGAAAAAACACTCTTATATAAAATCAAACTCAAATGAAAGGGAGTATGTCTTCTTTTGTCTGATTTTGCCGATATATTGATGTATAAGACCCTTAACAAATTAGGCTGTCACTGTCATTAAAATCATTTTCTAAAACTATTATTTTTTAAGTGAAAGTAATTTATTTAAAATAATGTGAAAAAAGATAATATATGAATGTTCATCGGCTTGTTTTTAAAATGGTGTTTTGGGTCGATTCTTGAGATATTCTGCAATTTTTGGTTGTTTTTCAACTTCTGCACGATTTTGTTTTAACCATGGATGAGTATCCAAACCAGTTGCAGCCAATCCAAGAAGAGTCTCACCCAAATCGTAGAAATATAAATCTACCCATGTTAAATGATTACCAACAAAAAAATGACCACCATTTCCATATAATTTACCTAAAACTTCAAGATTTTTTAAATGTTTTGGTAATTCTTCGGTTTGAAATTTCTTTATAAGTTCTGGTTTTTTGGCTTCATCTTGTTCTCGACGAATTGGTACAAATGCTGCTACTACATCACTAAGTGTATCAGCAACTGCATCGACTTTTGCTTGTTCAAAATTATCTTTTCCAGCCAATTGAAATTGTTTAGCAAGAAAACGAGCAATAGCCATCGATTGTGGTAATTTAACACCATCAAATTCAAGAACAGGAATTTGACCTAAAGGTGTTTCAGCTTTATGCGATGGCCATTCATCACGTTCATAACGAATATCTTCATATTTTTGACTAGCAGCAGCAAAAATTAAACGAGCGACTTCAGCACGACCACGACCATTAAAATAATAAAGTTTGTATGTCGACATTAATGTTAGTTGTGTATCAGTTAAACTGCGAAAGAAAGAAAAAAAGAGAACCAGTATAGTGAGAAGTGGGGTATTTATATGAGAGAAGAGAATCCATCACATGTGTGTTGCTGCTATTTTATATTTGCTATGTCATCATACACGAATACCTCGATAAAGGACAAAAAGAAAACAATGGTGACATTGCATATTTCTGTTGAATAAAAGAACATACCTTCGTACGCATTCAAAAGACGTTTGTCTCCTGAGAATGTGGATTGTGGGTGTGTATAGCCTCTTCAGACACCCACACCCTTTTTTACACTAAAATCTATGAGGTAAAAATCGATATCCTTTATAACGCTAGGTTTTTACTGATATCTCCTCTGAACTCAAGTCTCTGCCGCTGATCTTTTTCAGAGTACCATCATCTCGCGAAAGGATGATTTGGCCCATAGAATTAATACATAGTTAAATCTACAAACACATTTAGCGAGAGATTTTTTTGTTATTTGATTTAACACATTTGCGATGATGCGACTCACCAGTAGATCTCACACTAGTATACAATGGTCATTTAGGTAAAAACAGTTTTGCATTCGACAAATAAATGATGGTGCTACGGTTGATATAAAACTTACTCGTATCTCTCTTTTCGTTTCAGCTATACTTCCTGAAAAAATATTTTCAGCATCGCTCTAGAATAGAATTGCTTTCAATGTTTTTATACATGTTCTGGTTCTACTATAGACATTTCAGAAAAAAAGTAGGTAATAGAGATAAATGTGCAAAGTTAGCTGATGCTCATCATGAAGTTCAATATAGTTATGTTTATCGATGCTCAGGTTCAGGTATGAAAAACATTTATTTTTGATTTATTAAGAATTTTTATTTTGAATAAGAACTTCGCACCAACATCAACGTTCATGGAATATGACATGATGCAAATTCTTTACTTTCAAGATATTCGACCAACAACAATGAATTGAAGAAAGATACACAGCAATGTTTAAATCATATAATAGTCTCTAGTTGCTTTATTAAAATATTATTGACTAGTATCTTTATAAAAATAATATAAAATAGAACGTAAGAAAAATGTATAGAAAAAATGCCTAAATATATTTCTATACACAACATATATTCTCTGACTAGGGAGAGGAGGGCGCAAAGAGGTCAAAGTAGGGGTAGAAGTACTTTCGAATATAGAAAAACATGTGAACAACACGTGTCGAATACAGATGACTGGTGTATGGATGTGTGATTAATTCAAGTAAATTTATTTCATTTGTTTGGTCAAGTATATTTTTTTCGAAAACGGATAAGGTTCATCTGAAATTTCCCAAAAATTATGAGAATTATTCTCATTTTTGAAAGGTTAGACGCGGTACCGTGCCTTCACCCTCGCCCATATCACACCTATATCTATCTTCGTGATTATTGACATTGAATAGCTTTAAAAATTGCAGAAATAATTATTTGCAAATATATAAACGAATGACAGGAAAAAATCTCTTTCACGTGATACTAGGATTAAATCAACATAAGTCTTTTGTTTCTTGTTTTGTTACTGTAGCTGTTTAGCAAATGCAACTTTCTTTTCTTTTGAATAGTAATTAAGTAATGAACTGCACCGGACTCCAAAATTCAATTACGATTCCAACGGAGTGGCTGAATAAAATTTTTTCGGAGTCAGTATTGGAGCTATTTTCATAAAACAGTCAGGGTTTTTTACTGCTGCCTAGCCGTAACTTCCTTATTGATATTTTAACTGATGAAAAATGATATCTACTATTTTTAGCATTATGAATAAGTTTCAAGAAAAGTTAATAACATTAGAGAGATTCACGCTTACAAATAGCAAAACAACGCTTTTTTTCTGAAAATGTTTTGGTCATTTTGTTTCTGTGGCTTCTGAAAAACCATCACCAAGAATAATGAATTCTACATTAATATACGATGTTCACTATTTACTGATTCATTTTATTATTCATTTGCAATAATTTACGCATCAAAATGATATTAATGCCGCCAAAATGCAAAGAAAAGCTCGGGACTGGAGTCTAAAATTTTTTTGTTTGGATTAGACGAGAAATGTTTTGAGAAATTTCACAGTAAGAGTCGCCTTTTAGGTCCCAAAATTTTGACATCGCAGTTCACTATCATTAAGAATTCTGTAGCTCTCGGTCGCTTCTTATTTATGAATTTACTTCTCTTATCATCAACATCAAATAATATTATACTGTCACTACCTGCTATCAGTTCTATTATGGAAGCTTATGGTAATAGATAGAGAAGAATGTGTATTTTTTCTGACTGAAATATGATTCGCTTCAGGATAATCTTTACTTTTTTGAAATATATAGAAAATATCGGACAAATGCCTAAAAAATAGGACATTATAGGACTATTTCTAAAGATATAGGAGATATAGAACGACTACGCGGCCTGGAGATTAGAATAGCCGTATCGACGTTTCAAATAGTATAGGGTAGTTCCATGGGAGTTCGGACACATTTTACACAAAGTTCTCCGATTGAGCTGAAACTTTTAGGATTAATAAAGCTAGTTGAGATGATCATTTTGGTATATTTTGATTTAAGGTTTTTGACGAAAGTTGAAGGAAAATGAGTGAAACCACTTTTAGTCACTTTATATATTCTAAGGAAATTTTTGAGCCAATTTATGAGGTGAAAATTGAGTTTTTCATAATTTCAATCATCTATTAGTCACTCCAAATTCAATTCCATCGGTAGGTTTCGATTGCTTGACATCAAGAGAAGTAGTTCTTCAAGAGTTTTCGGGTGTGGGTGAAGAGAAGATCTACACCTACACCCACATTAAGATATTTGTTCACAACAGTTTGCATTGTTCTTAAATATCAATGTATTTATAAAACTTATTTTGTAAAAAATCGCCTATTTAGTTTCAAAATAGCATAACAATTAATGATTTACAATTTTTATAAATCCATACAGTAGATTGTCTCACACAATGTATTAATGACTAAAACGAATAGTATTTGATCAGTTCTTTTCGCAATATATGTTAGATGATGATGCCTTAAACGTCACTTTATTATTAGATGAATTTTTATCAAAAAAATGAAAATTATATCTCATCAATACATAAAATGCGAAATAAACATTATAGAAATTAAAAAAATAAGTTAGTAAAACAAATTGTTTGTTATCACCGATGAAAATATGAAGGATTCATTTCTTTATAATCATTTTAAGGTAAATAACGAATCAAATCTTTTTCTTCAGAATCTCGTTCTAAATATTCATTTTCAATTAAAAATTGAATGCATTCCTTAAATAAATATTGATTAATATTATTTTTTCATCAAAAACAAACAACTATACTTTGATTTTATCTTCATCGGGTTTAAATTTTAAACTTGATTCTTGAACAACTTTTTCTAACAATAATGAATATTTTAATTGTTTTCGTATTTTCATTATTCGAACGATAGCAGCCTTAAAGACTTAATAAAAAATAGTTAAAAAGACACTTCACTTTTTTTACTTGAATAACTAATTTGCGATCCTCATCTGTTGATGTATATATATAGTTTCAGAATCAATTGAATTCCAAGCGGATGGTTCTGTAGTTTTAATCAAATTAATCATAATTTTATTACTAAAGAAAAAAAACAATGAATACAATAATTTAAAAATTGATATCAGACCTGTGAAATGTTTGATTAATTTCAATCACAGAATTTTCTGTAATTCCACTTTGATTTAAATTTTCATTTAATGTATTTCCATTGATTCCTGCACATTTTAATGTTTCACTTTTTAATAAACTGAGAAGAACTTGTTCGAATGATTCATAGTTCATATCAGTTTTATCTAATATTTGTTCAACTGTCATATTGTCAAATTCATTAAATAAAAGTAAAACAATCATTTGATATGTTGATAATTTATATGACAATAAAAAAAAAATCAGAAAAATTATTTCATTAAGTAAATTAACTCTTACTTTTAAAATGTATTTTCGTTTGGTATATAAGAAGTTATTCATAAAAGACGACCAAGTAAAAAACTAACGAATATACTTTTATAGTAGAAAAAGAAATAAAAAATACATGAATATTCGAACATATAAAAAAATTCTTTTCTCAAAATTTTTAAAACTTGAAAACCTTGTTGTAAGCCTTGATGGATTATATACAAATCAATAAGCTATATTCAATTTGAGCCATTTATGAAAAAAGAACTTGTTCATCATACAACTCTTAATATCCAGAAAGTTTTTCTATACGAACATTTTGCCGATTTCAATTCTGCGAAAAATGTTAATGAAGAATTTCTTCAATTTAGTGATGTTCTTTATTTAACTATAAGACGAGTGAAGTGTCAATTTTACTAGTCGGTATGACAGCATCAATTGTACAATGTTTTCAAATGAGTTTTCTATTATGTTCTATCTATTTTTATAGAAATTTTAATGAAAAGGTTTTTTCGAAAAATGGTGAATGTGACCGAAAAGAAAGAACTGCTTTCACACCTTGATCAATGTATGACAAATGTGAATGATAAATTGTTCGAAAGAGAAGAAAATCTCCTATCAACTAATTGAAAAAAAAGAATTCTTCCCAAAATCTATTTATTAAAGAGATATAAGGATCAATATTTTGTGTCATTAATTTAGCATTGTATGTTTGTTCTTCCTTATCATGTCTGATACATCGAGGGTGTGGGTGTGGGTGTGGGGTGTGGGTGGGTGTGGGTGTGACTCAACAGAAGACCCATACTCACACCCTTTCAGAAAGGTAGCCTATACAAGAGACAAAGACTTTTGCACCTTACTGTATTTTCAAATGAAATCAGTGTCAATAGAATACGTTTTAAGACACTTCAACGAGACAATTATCAGCTGAAAAAAAAATTTTTATCGATTGTGACTTGATAGTATAATGAAGATTGTTTTGAGATGTAGCAAAAATCAAATGTAAGAGATAAAAAAATTGAATAGCAGTTTCATATCAAACATTGTCCATTTGTTTT